TTTGGAGAGATGCAGCTCTATGTGTTATTCAGATTTCACCCACGACACTAAAAAAAAAAAGGTATTTGAATCAAAATTCCTCCTTCTTTACATTTATGATCACATTATTTTAAGAGGTTTCATGTCTTTAAAAGGTATATTAAACCTAAAAGTGGAGACACTGTGATAAAACCCACCCCAGAGCTCATCTGGAGGGTTTAATAGGTGCCTCTTACATTTTCCATCAACTGATTGAACTTAGCTCCTGTTTCTTTGAACCTCTTGTTGTTCTCACTGAAAGCCGTGCTGACATGCTTTAAAAGCATACAAATAGCTTCTGCTGTGACGATCTACACAATATATTCCGTTCTGTTTTCATAATACGCATTTCAGTTCATGAATGCCTGAGCTAACAGAGGTAATGTAGAGATAAGTCTCTGGTATTACTACTTGTTTTTCCATTCGTCTCTTTATGATGCACAAGATCTGATTCTTTGGCGCTTCACCAACAGCATCTGAGATTGGAGGTAGGTATAGCAAAAATTAAAGTGCATAGCATCCCTAAGGAGATGCTCAGAATTGGGCTGTGGCCAACCTCATATATTAAGTTGTTTGAACTTTGTTATTTTATTAAGGAAATGGATTTCAGGTTCATCACTTATTTAGCATCGGTAGCACATGACCACCTTCCGCCGTCTGTTGAAACTCCTCACTGTGATAGCAGACGTGCAAGTGCGTGACCCCAAGCATTTACAGTCTAGGCAAGATAAAACCAGTAGGTTTTCTGTAAAATTTTCCGATTTGAAGGGAAGGACATGATTAATGTTGTGACCGAGGCAGTGGAGAAGCCGGACTGAGGTGCTGTGGCAAGGCTGGTGGGATGCAAACACCGAAGAACACACATTGCGCAGGGGATGGGCGCTGGGCAGAAGTTATTTCTATAGGCAGCACTACCTCCTGGAAGAGGAGATAGAGGGTAAGCAGTCGCAACCCAGCTGGAGACACTGGTGGAATATGGTCTGGAGCCTGCGGACATAGTGGAGACGGGAGAGCGCTTCAAAGGGACCTCAATTTGGGATTAGGGGGAGGGTAGGGCCTCAGCTGAGAAGGGCGAACGGGGAGACACATGGCCATGGGGGCAAAGAGGTGGGGAAGGAGCAGCTAGTAGTGTCGGGGGGGGGGGGGGGGGGGGGGAAGAAAAAGAAAAAGGAAAAAAGAGCAGTTGGCACCTCCACGCCAGAAGTGGGAAGACAATGGAGGGAAGCAAGGGCCAGAAGGAGGGAGAGGGAGCTGGCCTGGCCGGGCCGGCCGAGGGGGAGGAACGGGCGGGTCGCCCCCCCGGGGCTGCGGTCCCTGCCCCGGCAGATGCTCCCGGGGCGGCCCCGGCCCCCCCGGCCCTCCCCGCAGCCCCCGGCCCCGGAGCGGGGGGGGGGGGGGGGGTCGGGCGGTCACCGAGGGCTTTCCGCCCCCTCGCCCGGCGGCGGGGGCTCCGGGCAGCCCCCGCGACGGGACGGTGCCGGCGGTGCCCTCCCGGCACCGGTACCCGCCCGCTTTGCAGGGGAAAGAGCTGCCCCGGGCCGGGCTGGTCCCGGGCGCGGAGCAAAAGCGGTCTCCGCGCAAAACCCGCGCCCCGCGGAGCCTCCCGCCACGGGGCGGGACGCATCCGCGCCCCGGGCGGGCACGGAGGTGGCGAGGAGGGGGGAGCACCGGGGAGGGGGGAAGGAGACAGCCCCGGGTAGCAGCCCTGGTCCCGGGCGGGTCGGGTCCCTCCCCGCGGGCCGGCCCCCGCGAGTGGAAAGTTTCCCCGGATTGACCTCTCATAGTACGCGCCCGCTAGGAAATCTCATTCAAGTATTTTTGTCAATGGGGTGTGTGTGTCGGGGGGGGGGGGGGGGGGGGGGAGGGGGGCACCCTGCTCCCCGGCCCCCGGCCCAGCTGACGTCACTGCAGAGGCGATAAATATCTGTTGATATAATTGGACGTGAGATTTGGGGTTGCGATAGCGAAACTCGGCCCATCGCCGCTCCGACGGGCCCCCATGATTTATTCAGCAGTGGATCGGGGCACGCAATCGGGCTGTCAGGAGAGCGTCAGCTTATTAGGCAAGTTCTGCGTGATTCCAGGAGAGGGTCTAAGCTATAAAAATCCCTCGCCCCGGCTCTGATTAGGACCAAATCTGATCCCAAGTTCGCCAGGAGCCGGCTCCGAGGGAGAGCGAGAGGAAGGGACGCCGAGCCCCGCCGCCTGCCCTGCCCTGCCCTGTCCTACCGCCGCCCCAGGTAGGTGCGGGGCCGCGCCCGGGCGCGGAGCGGGTTGCGCGGCCCTGCGCGGGGCTGCGCGCGGCGGCCCGAGGGAGGCGGGGAGCTCCCCCGGCCGGGCTGGGAGCGGGGAGGCGCAGAGCAGCCGGGCGCTCGCACCCCGCAGCTTTTGGGAACGGCCGCCCCGCCGCAGGCACCCCACGCTCCCCACCTCTCACCCCCCCGCCCCGGGGTGGGTGAAGAGGCGCGGACACGCGCGGACTCTCTCCGCAGGGGCTGCTGAGCGCAGCCCTGGCCCCGGGAACCGGTGCCGGCGCAGCCCGGAGCAGCCCCGCGGGGCCGTTCCGCGGGGGGCGGCCGCCTCGACGGGCGGGGGGGGGGGGGGCCCGGCCGGGCCGGGGCTGAGCGCGGCCGGGCCGCGGTGTGCGGAGCGCGGAGGGGCGCGGAGAGGCGCGGAGGGGCGCGGAGAGGCGCGGAGGGGCGCGGAGCGGCGCGTTTCAGCACCGGGACAGCGGCGGCGGGGGGGCTCCCCCTCCGCCTCCCTCCCGGCCGCCGCGGCTCGGCTCCCTAACAGCACCCCCTCCTCCCCCGTCCCCCGCCCCGTCTGCCCCGCAGGTTTGGGCCCCGACCATGAAGATCCCGCTGCTGGTCTCCACGGGAATCCTGCTGGTCGCCCTCCTGCCCTGCCAGGAGTGCAGAGCTCTCAGCAAGAGCCCGGCAGCCGCCCACGGGGCTCTGCACCAGCCAGATTTCTTCCAGCAGCAGCAGCAGCAGCAGCAGCAGCAGCAGCAAACTCTGCCCGTCCTGCTCCGCATGGGAGAAGAGTATTTCCTCCGCCTGGGCAACCTCAATAAGAGACCCGTTGGCTCTTTCTCCGCCTCCTCCAGCAGCACCAGCCACCTACAGCCCGAAGCCTCCGCCAGCAACTTTTTGCGAGCGACGGTGCAACAACTGCAGCCGCTGCCCGAGCGCTCGCTGGGGAGCCCCGAGGAGGGCGAAGCCGAGGGTGAGGCCGTGGAGAGGGAGAAGCGATCCGAGGAGCCCCCTATTTCTCTGGATCTGACTTTCCACCTCCTGCGAGAAGTCTTGGAGATGGCCCGAGCCGAGCAGTTAGCGCAGCAAGCTCACAGCAACAGGAAACTGATGGAGATAATCGGGAAATGAAACGGCCCCTCCCCGCCTTGCCAAAGAGATTCCGCAGTTAGCACAAGAATAATTACACCGTCCGATGTACCATAGTGCTGCTCTGATGTCATCTCTTTATTTTTATATAGCTTTAAACCTAGAAGGGTGTACTCCGAACAGCCTCTGTCCCTTGACTAGCATGCACAACCGTGTACCAAGTGCAGAAACACGAGTGTCGTTCGTAACCTCCCCTACCTTTATTTATTTCTCCATTTCCCAGTTATTCTAGTGCCATCGCTACGTAGGGATGTGTGAGCATTGGAAGAAATGGTGCCAAGGAGACAGATAACTTTTCTGCTGGGGGCAGGGAGGTGGGAGGGGGAATCTCTGTAAGCTACTTTAAATCCACTTTTTTTCCTGTAAACATTTTCACAATAAAACATCTTTTCAGCGCTCGGTCGATTTTGTTGTGTAAGAGAATGTTTAATATTTATATTTTTAATAAAAGCTGCAAAGTAACGATGGCTTGATAGACTTTCTTGCCTGGACGCCTGAGGGCTGCTCCGCCTCCCTCAGCGCTTTCCCGGGGTGGGGCGGGGATGAGGGGTTGGAGGGGGGATCCACCCGCGGACACCCCGAGCCGCAGGGAGCCCTAAATCACCCCGGGGGCTATTTCTCCCCCTCCCCGCCGCGGGGACCCCCCGTTCCTGGGGGTCTCCCCGAGACGCGCCCCGACGTGCCGCCGGGCAGGGGCTCCCCACGCCGCCGCCCTCGGCACCGGCTGCTCCCGGGGACGGGGCGGGATGTGGGGTCGGGGGGTGGTCGGTCGCCCTCAGCTCAGCCCCCAGCAGCCCCCCTACACACCCCCCCACACACACACCCTCCCCCCCCCCCCCCCGAGGGAGCTCCCCGGCTCCTGCCGCTGCCACCGGGACCGGGCAGCCTCTTCCCGCCGGAGCGCAGCGATGGGAAGCCAGTGAGGTGCTCCCGGGACTCTTTTGTGTTCTGCCTCTTTTCTTTCTAGCTCTGCTCATCCTCCCCGCACCCCAAAAAGGGCAGGTTCCTCCCCGCATCGGCTCTCCCCGTCCCTCTGGCGGTGCCCGAGCCGGGTCCTTCCCAGGGGCACCGGTGAGGTGGTGGCGCATGTGGAGAAACTTCCCGGGAAGGAGCTGAGGGAAATCCTCCAGGATGACCGGGAGGAAATAGGAAATCCCTCACCCCGAACCAAATCCCGGCGAAAAGCTGCTCCAGCAGCCGGAGGCGACGCGGTGGCAGTGGCGGTGCGGAGCGGCCCCCGCTCCGGGCTGGGCAAGTCTCACTGGCACAGAGCTCGCCTCTGCAGCCCTCCAAAACTTCTCCCACGGGTGGGTTTTCCAGGGGAAAGAGCTGGACGTGAGGGCCTGGTGTGAGCGAGCCCCGCAGGGCGGGATGGCCAGGGCTGGGGCTCACCCCCACAGCCTGCTAGGCGGGCGCCGCGTTGCGCCCGCGCTGCCAGCTCGCCAGCCCTGCCGGGGCCACGGCGCAGCCCTACGGCCCGGCCCGGTGGTCCCCTGACAAACCGGTGGGTTTGGGGCCTGGCTCGGGGCTCCTGGAGAGATCCGGGCTTAACCCGAGCGCAGAGCTGGTCCCTGACGGCACCGCGCGCTCCCGGCGACCCGCCGGTCTCTCTCAAACACGGCGTGCTGACACCCTGTTCCCGGTGACAAAACTTGCCGTGTCGCTTCCAGCGCAACTCGTGGAGCTTCTTTTAAGACGCGAATTGGATTTCATTAGGCCGCTCAAAGCCTGCCAGGCACAAGGAACAGGCGTTCGCCTTTTCTACAGCGCGCCACAGGGCCTTCAAATTAAACCTGGAATGAATACCTGTGACCACCTCACCGCGGTCTGGTTTCGTGCAAGAACATGCCCCTTCTCCTACATGCACGGATGACTGAGAAGACACAGACACAGGTTAAAGCTGGACGGGCGTGGGCAGGACTCTGGCATTTGCCCCACGTGCACCAGAGCTGTGTCCCGCATCCATGCGCGGGGGCTTGGCCAGTGCTTTCGGCGTGCGCAGCTCCCTCGTCCACCGGGCACCTTCCCTACAAATGATCCGTTTCTCTGTTGTGGTTTAGCAGGAAGAGCAAAGGAAGAAATGGCAGCTTCCCTCTCCTCTCCCGCGTTCCACAGGCGGTGAGGTGCCGGTGCCGTGGGGACCGTGAGTGACTGCAGGGAGGTGCTCAGACACAGCCCCTGACTTGGGGCTACCCCGGGTGTGATACTCTCACTGAAGCCACCAGCACCGACGAGCGGGGACACAGGAGGGTACTGAGGAGAAACGCTGTTTTGGCAAAGGATGCTACTAGTGAATATCATACCAGCATTTTAGCTAACAACATCGGTGAAGCATTTACACCTACACGGGGATGTGCCAAAAAGTGAGTAACAGAACACTAGCGGTGCTCAGCCTACAGCTGTAGAGATGCTATTTTCCCCTTGGAAACAAGAAATTACTGGAAAACACTCTGACTACAATACAGGATAGTAATGTCTCCCCTTGCTCCCATCCCTCTCAGGACTGTCATCTCAAGGGCTGGGTACGACGTGGTCAACCGAGTTCCTGGGAACGATAAACCTGCTCGGATGTCCCTTTCCAGGCCAGTTTCTTTGCCGATGGCAGCCAGGCTGCCTGCGCTCGCGGTCCCTCCGAGGAGAGGCACCCCAGAAGCCAGCCGGAGTGAGTCATCATTCATTCAGTGAGTTCAACCAGGAGAAGGAGAAGACATGACGAGCCGGCTCATCACCCCTCTCACTGCTCACGGGAGTTTCCTCCACTCGACCTTGAGGGGATGGTTCAGAACCAGTCTGTAAAGGAAGGAAAGGTTGACAAATGGAAGAGGAAAAGATGAATTGCATTAAAATCCTTAAGGTTTCACAACATGCAGAAAAACAGAATGAAGTGGGAAAAGGGGGAAAAGGCAGGGAGCATGAAAATTTGGGGAGGCCAGCCAGACTTCTACTGCCAGAGGTCACGGGGACTTTTGCTATGGACAACGGCAGAGGAAGGATTATGGTGGGTGAGTGTGTCGCACCTGTGCAAAGGGCTTAGTCCTGATTTGGACCTCTGGAATATTATTGCACCGAAGGTGATAACTGCCTGTTTAGAAGTGATCCTGAGCCAGCTTGGCTTGTGTAGCTGGGCCTCCAGATTGATGTGGACCAAAGCCAAAAGTTATTGTCAGTGCAGTGCCACTCAAAATGATACTTGTTCTGCTGTCATGAAATCTGCCTTAGATGTGGTTTGGGTTTTTTTTTTTTTGTTGTTGTTTGTTTTTTTTTTTTTCTTTCCCTTTAAAGTCTTTTAATATTTATTTCACTTCTATTTCACACAGCCAAAGAACAGGAAATAAATAATACAGAGATATAAGCTTCTGCTTATATATCAGGCCAAATTCTGCTTTTGTTTGCACAGGTCTCCTATGCTTGCAGTAAAAAAATGAATCTAGACATGATAGGCTGTAGCTGCTAATCACAGGTATTATCGCTATTTTTAAAAATTAGCTGAATATTTAACAGACCAGTATAACATGCAGAAATATTTTACTAATTCCAGTGTTTTCAGATCCCTTTGGCAGAAAATTAAGATTGGCTTTGTAGTAGTGTCAGAAATCCTGTTAAAGATAAATATATTAAAATGGGTGATTTAGTAGCTAAGGGATGCCTTGTGTCTTCATCGTTAAAACCACAGTTTAACTTGCAGTATACAGGATACTTTTTTCCCTCTATATTCCTAGATATGCATGTACATTATTGTACATTCTTAAAATTAAATTAGCCAGCCTTCTCTGTGCAGAGTTTCACCTTACTTTGGGAATTCCAGCATGAGCTCAGGAGAACTATTTGATGTCAAGAAACTACTTGATAGAGGGAAAATGACAGAGTAGCGTCCTCTGAATTTTAACATCTCAATCATTTGTAATATTGCCCTAAAATAAAAAGTTACCAAAGCAGTGGTGCTAACAGATATATCCAGGAACAAACAATGAAGCAGGGATGTTTGTGAGGAACTGAAGCATGGGATGGATGGTTTTCCTAAGCATTTTTGTAAGTGCTTAATGTTAAAGTGTACCACAGGAATTAGTAAGAACTAATGGTGTGTTAAGTATAAATTGGCTACTGGGCTTCATTCCAGTTACTATCTATTTAAGTGTTGTGACACCAACAAACAAGACAGCATGGAGGTCTGAAAACAGTAGCTCCCTATTTCTTTACTTATATCTAATTAGAGTTCTATAGCTCCTATTTTAGACCCAGATCCTCAGTTGCTCTAGACTGGAATAGCCCTACTTGTTCCAATGAAATGCTATTTGAGACTCTGCTTTAATATTTGAAATGTGGACTAATCTTTGGTTTAGATTCATATTTTCAAAGCAAGGCACTCACTGCTGCTCACAGCAAAATACAGGGCTCAGGAAGGATTTTTATGGACAAGGATCTTGCAAAAGAATATAGCTTTTGTTTGCTAACTGTATCATGTACTTTAATGAGAGCACACGCATGGTGAAAAATCTGGGAGAAACAGCTGCTCACTTGAGTGCAAAAGTCCATTTTCAGGAATGCTGGTGAGAAGGGTTGTCTCCCAGGCTTATGCAGAAGTATTGTAAAGAATCAGGCCCACAGGGCCAGATCTTCAGCTGAAAAGGCAGGTAGCTAATTGAGTCCCAATTACAGAAGATTTGCCTCTCAGCCCTGGAAAGTGCTGAATGCAAACCTTCCAACCCAATTACAAAAGTCAGGTATCAGCAGTAAATACATGGCTACACTTTCGGAGTTGTAAGGGATTCTGTGCTCTCTTGATCTTGGTAGATGCAGGAGCTTGAGCAGTTTATGAGTCCTCTGCGGTGCTGAAAATTTTGCCTTTTATTTTTGGATGAACAGTCGGAGTGCCTGGACTACCTAAGAGTCATTGTGAAATTGGTTGTGCAATTTTGTGCACTGAGCCCTCAGTAGTGTGTGTAAGCAGGCATGGGACAGACCTCCTCACTTACCACCCTGCAAAGGAATAGGACTGGCAAGAGTTTTAAAAAATAATTTCCTTCATTTTTATTCTTTTTTACTTAAAACCACACTGATACCTTGTCATTTCCCTTCCTGTGCAAGACAGGTTTCCTTTAGCACTTCCACTTGCTAATCCAACCATCCACTATCCCAAAATATACGTTAAACTACGTTTAACTCTGAAGGAAGGAAGTATCTGTGGGCTTAAGGTTAAGCAGCTTGTTTCATAGGATTTGGACCTAACATGTTAGAAGAAAAAAAGCTCAACGTAATGACTTAGACTGGCAAGGTGACTGCATTACCTTGTTAACCAACACTGCTGCTGCTGCATTTCGAACAAAACAATCTTTGTCTGCATCACTGCCAAATATTTCATAATGTGTTAACTCCTTCATATTCTGCTGTGATGACATCTTCCTGTGTCAGCAAAACAATGCTAGAGCTCCAACATATTCCCAGTGGGTTTGGCTGGATGAAGCATTTACTCCCTGCTGCTCGCTGGACTCAGCAGGCTGCCAGTCTGCACTACCTCGATGGGCCTTTCCAAGAGCAATCGCTTGCCATCACACCTGGCCGGGAGTGAAGCAAGCCCCAAACTGACAATGGTGCCATTCCTCGGCTTTTAGACTCGTGTTTTCCCACCTGTGACACTTGAGTATTTGTGCCCTGAGTCATGCAGTGACTGAGGTACGCTACCCTCATGTGAGGCAAGAGACCATCAAAAGGTGCCAGGAGCAACTCTGCCCACGTTGTTAAGTCCATTTCCCCCCTTTGAACGTCAGCCCACACAACTCACGGTTGCTCCTGGCTGTTTCGGGATTGTCTGAGACAAAGATTTCAGCGGCAGACTTTTACAGAAAACAACTGTTTTGAACCAGGAAGTGATTCGGAAAGGCAGAAAGCAGAAGCAGGTCTCCTCAGCGTCAACGGGATTTGGGCATCTGACCCCTCTGTAGGTCCTTCCAGTCTAATCCCGGATCACCTCTCTCTCCCTGCAGCCCTACTCTGCTGCCAGAGAAAAGCTTTCTGCTGAGCACGGCACAGCCCTTGCCACAGGCCTTTCAGACAGTTCAGATTCAACACTTCATTGTGTCTGTGCACTGCTATTATGTAACTGTTGTCAAGCTTCTACCTGAGCTTTATCTTAGTCTTGGAGATCTCATGGGTAGGGCTTGTTTCTCACATTACCTAGAATAACAAGTCCCAGCCCTTGATTTGGGTCCCTAACAGTAATAAGGAATAACTAAAGTGTTTACCTCAGATTACATTAATCACATTAGGCCAACGCTGAGAGAGTGCTGAATACTTACACTTTGATTTATATTTTCCCCTGTGGTGTCGAGTGACATCAGATGATGCTTTCAATAGGCACCAGGAATTTTCACCAGGCTAGATCATGAAGTGGGGAGGGAAGCACACCCTGCATGACTGATGGTTGGATTTGTTTTTCCCATAAGCAAAGTCCAGGCTCAAGTATACATGCCAATTCTTTGGAGGTGCTGAGTAACCACAACTCCCACTGAGCAGCCATTCAGCAGTCCTCAGCATCTGGCACACTAGAATTTGCATGAATAAACAGTATAAGGACCTCAGAGTTTAACCTGATGAGTCCTATCAAAGTTGCAGGTATTCAGCATCTTTCAGAATTTGCTTCCTTCAGCAGAGCACTACTTAAAACTGTGTAAGGCTCATTGTAAAGGGTGTGGAGGGGAGGAAAGGGGTGAGTGGGATGGCTTTGTTGTAATGTTTTCATTTATCAGGGCCCAGCAGTTATTCTGTCTATGCTGGCGAAAAATAGTTAGTCTAGGCCTTCTAGATATTTGAAACATGATGAAGTCTACACATCGTTTTCTGCTTTACCACCGCTAATCTCCATAGCCTTTAGGTACAAAGACTGGGATCCATATTACCAAACCTGAGTCATCCAGAAATGAGATATTCACTCAAGCAAACTGCATTCATCCCCTCTAATGGGAGTGATAAGAGAAAGGTACAACCAGAGGGTGATTTGTCCCATCCTAAAAGAAGTGTCTATAGGGTGGATTGCCCTCTGGAGTTACCTGTTTCATCTACTGACTCTAGAGACACTCCCAGTGATCAGGTTAGACTAGATCTGGCTTTTAAGTAATTACACAAGAAAGATTCCAGCCAAATACTTCAGGATATCAGAAAACTGCTTGATAGGAATCAAGAACTTTGACTGCACGATTACTTATACAAGATCAGTAACTCTTAAATTTAGGAACTGGGGAGGAAAGGTGAAGAGTCCTCACAGTCTTCTTTTATTTGGTTTTTGTTTTGGCAATTTTTTGCTTGTTTTTGGTGACTTCTGGTGAGGTAGGATCTGGAGGAACCATTGTTATAACATCCCTCTCAGGGGCTATATCACACCTGCTGAAATGGTTGTTTCTTCCAGGGCTGCAGATAACTCAGCAGTATATTTTATCTGAATTGATCATAAGTAAATGATCACAATTTCTTGTAATTAATCAGAAAACCAAAATGATTGCTGGTTTTACACTGGCCACAAAAGAACAGATGACAACTTTGTTGGCAAAGCAAAAACGACCTCCTCACATTTTTTGAACACATATTGTTCTACCTGGTGAATGTGTAGTAGTTGAACACTTTGTGTCACCTGAGTGTGTTATTTCTGACCTATTGCTGAATTCTCCAAAACTGTGTTTACCATCTTGTGGAGTCGTGGTCTCAGCTTTGAGCGAATTAATGAGAAAGGTCTAGATTTACAGTGAAATAAGTAAGAAAAGAATACACGTGGTTTATTAGAAGTCAGTAGGATAGGGGGT